CCCGCGCAACCCCCCGCCCGCCGGGGGGACCGGCCGCGCCCCCGCCGCGGCGCCGCCCCTCCCCGGGAAAAAAAAAAAACAAAAACAAAAAAACATATCCCAGCAACAACAATAATAATAATAATAATCGTAATAATAGATTCCCGGCAGGAGCAGGCAGGGTGACAGCGGAGGATGGGGACATCCCGCACACATATTCGCCCCCCCTCCTGCCCCGACGGCGGGGGGGGGGGTGTAGGGGGAGCCCTGAAAAGTTGGCGGCCCCACCACCGGCACGTCGCCCCCGAGGGAGCAGCGCAGGCCCGCGGGCAGGGTGGGCGACCGCCCCCCGGGTCTCCGGCCGTGGGGAATGCTGCGAGTGGGAAAGTTGGGAGCTTGAGGGAGTACGTGAAAGGGGGGAACCGGCCCGGCCCCTCTCTATTTCCCCATGGATGCTACAGCTGCCTCCAGGAGTTTTTAGGCGATTTTTTTATTTTTTAAATTTTTTTTTCTCTCCCGGAGATCGCCCCTCCGTTGTGGCTTCCCTTCGGAGCTCAGGGAACCCACGTCAGCCTGGTCTCTCCAGCTTTTGTGAGAGAGGCTGACGCGTCCTGCGTGGAAGAGGCCTCGTATCTTAATGAACACCCCCGTAATTAAGGCGGAGGTTGTGGCTGGGGCAGGGAAGGGTGGCCTTCTCGGGAGGGGGATTTCTGGTTTGCACCAAGTGTCCGAGAAGGCCCCGGGAAGGGCCGGGCGGGCTCCCGGAGCCCCCGAGCAGCCCAGATAAACTTCCACGTGTCTCTTCTCCCCCCCACCACTTCCAGAGTCGAGCCGAGGGAATCAAACATTCAAATTCAAAACCGAGCCAGTAGGACTATTCCTAATTAATACAGCCCCGCTAATGAGTCAGCAGAAGCCAATCGGTTTCGTTCTTGCTCCGAATAATTAAACGCGGATGTGTGTCTTTAAGAGGGGGAAAAAAATAATACGTGAAACAAACATTTCCACCTTCATTTTTCAACATGGCAGTTACCCCATAGCGGAAATATAATTCTTGGCCCAGGGCAGGGACAGTAACAGTGCTGATGAAATTCGCTGAGGCGCTTTTAATTCGGCCGTAACCCTGCACTTCCTGGAGATAACATGAGGTTGTTCATTCCAAGCTGTGTTTACTCATAATCCGTACCCATTACAACAGCCTGAATAGCCCAATTTTAAAGGCGCTCTGACGGAAAGTGACATTCGTACGAGCCCCGTTTCCTAAAGTAGCTTTCAAAGGGGAGTTTTGCTGTTGTTGGGAGACTATTTGTCTCATTTCCGGGGGCAGATTACGATACCTATAAAACAGTAGTGAGCTAAAACATCGCTCCACAATAGTTTGCATTGTTCACAGTCTCAGCTGGACTTTCACATTCAGATGTTGATTGCCTCCAATTTTATTTTTTTTTTTCTTTCCCAACTTCCTTAACCTCTTCATCCCGGCTAATCCATAAACACACCTGGTAGAATTACAGCTCGCTCGCTGCATGCTTTGGGAGGTCATTTCAGAAACATGTATTTCCTGAAAGCCAGCCTTCTCCAAGGAAAAAAAAAAAAAAAAAAAAAAGGAAAAGTTTTTCTTTTTACTCAGTGCGAATAGTTTAAAAAGAAAGGAACGCCAGCAAACAAGCACACAGCACGCTAAATACAACGAGGTTTTTAGAAGAGCAGATTCTCACCAACACACAGCAGAACGAAAACCCACCGTGAAAAAAGAATACTCGGGACACGCGAAAACCACCGGCCCTACTTTAAAAAGTTGTGGCCAGACGGCCTTTTGTTTGACTCCATCACACAGAGACCAAAATAAAAAAATCCCTGCAGGCTTAGTTATATTTACATTTTATAGCATCGGCTACAGACTGATTTTTTTTTTTCTCCTCTTTTTTTTTCTTTTTTGTTTCTTTTCTCTTTTTCAAGTTATTGTCTGCGTCCAAATCAAACTGTCGAAAACCCGACCGCAGGCAGCGAAAACATTTCTTCGTTCATCCCGTAATATTAAAAGGACTGAAATGTGCACGTTTGCCCGGCCAGGTCGTGTTAGAGTAGTTACAGTGACAGCTAAACAATCTGCGCTGCAATCTCCGCTTCACTCACATTCAAGCGTCCTCTCCGCTCCTCCCCCTACCCCCAGAAAACCCCGAATTACAATAATCTGTTACCCCCCAGCTCTGCCGCCAAAATGTCCTGCCCGAATACAATTTTGCAGCAGTTCCCCTTCACCATTCCCTTCCCCCCCCCGGCCCCCCAAGGAAAACAGAAAACCAGCCGCTGCATTTTGCCACCGCAACAAAGTCACACTTGGCGCTACCCGTGTATTTCGTCCGCCTTTTATTTGTTTTCGGAAATTCACCGCACCCCCAGCACCTCCTCCCCCAAAAAGCACTTTCGCCTTCCTCCTCCCGCCGAAAACCCGGCCGCCTCCCCCAGCCACCCCCGCATACAGGTGCGGGGGCAGTTACCCTCTTGAGCTTAAAAGCCTCCTTCTCCTCGTATATAAAACCACTTACAAAACCCTTCTCATGCCCGGCAGCGTCACCAAAAAAACCAACCTTTACCTAATAGCTCCTAATCCA